GGCCGGGCAGTGGTGGCGCACGCCTTTAATCCCAGCACTCAGGAGACAGAGGCAGGTGAATCTCTCTGAGTTTGAGGCCACCCTGGTCTACAAGAACTAGTTCCAGGACAGGCTCCAAAGCTACAGAGAAAACCTGTCTCAAAAAAAAAAAAAAAATTAAAAAATAAAATGTGAGCTAGGATCTTGCTAGTTGCCTAGTCTGGACTTTGAACTCCCTCTGCTTGTGATCTTCCTGCCTTAAGAGTCAGTTAGGGCCTTTACTTCAGTAACTTGACAACAGAACCTCTGGCAAATAGGTGATCTCCACCATCGCTCAGTACTATCCAGGAGACTCTTGAACTCTCTACCCTAACTCCTAGACTTCCAGGATTTTAAGACAAGGTCTCTCATATCCCAGGCTGACCTAGAACCTGCTATGTAAACAAGGATATAACACTGAGCTTTGAATACTTCTGCCTGTCCTTAGATTCAAGCTGGGAGGGGGAACCCACAGAACTAATGATCAGAATCTCAGTTTAGCCGGGCGGTGGTGACACACGTCTTTAATCCCAGCACTCAGGAGGCAGAAGCAGGTAATCTCTGTGAGTTCAAGGCCAGCTACAAGAGCTAGTTCTGGGAAAGGCCCCAAAGCTACAGAGAAAAACAAAAAGAATCTTCGTTTAACCACCTTCTAGCTAGATTATTTAAGCAAATCATTTATCTTTGATTAGTAAGATTCTGTACTACAGTGGGCTGTAGTATTTTAGGAAATTTAAAATAAGTATGTCTAGCCTACACTTGAGTCCTTCACTTTTTCTTCCTTTTTCAATGTTACAACACTCCTCTCCTGGTCAATTAAATGCAAAGTCCCTGTATTGCACACCTCAAAGAAGAAACCTCTCATCTCTAGCTAGCTAGCCATCTTCAGTGGCATATACTACAGTATTTTTTTATTGGAAAGTTGGAATTTCTATTATTATTTATTTTTAGGTGCATTGGTGTTTTGTACATATATGTATGTACATATATGTATGTATTGTACATATATGTATGTATACGTACATATACGTCTGTGTGAGGGAATCAGATCTTGGAGTTACAGACAGTTGTTAGATTCCACGTAGGTGCTGAGAACTGAACCCAGGTCCTCTGGAAAAGCAGTCAGTGCTCTTAATCACTGAGCCATCTCTCTGGCCCAGTTGAGATTTCTTTTTTTTTTTAATTATTTATTATGTATACAATATTCTGTCTGTGTATGCCTGCATGTCTGTACAGACATTCTGTATGTCTGCAGGCCAGAAGAGGGCACCAGACCTCATTACAGGTGGCCTCATACTACATTACAGGTGGTTGTCAGCCACCATGTGATTGCTGGGAATTGAACTCAGGACCTTTGGAAGAGCAGGCAATGCTCTTAACCACTGAGCCATCTCTCCAGCCTGCGCAGTTGAGATTTCTTAGTGGGTTTAAAACTGAGGTTACTCACTACCTGGAAATGTCTTCTCTTCACTGAACACGAGTTTACCCAGGATCACTATGATCCTGAATCAGGAAGGCAGATGTAGTAATAGTATATTCCCCAGTTTATCCAGCATTGTTTTCTAGACAGACTGGTGGCTGGTACCTGTTTTATTAAGACAACAGGTTCCTCTGCTCACATGAACTCTAACTGAGAAGCCCACTATCAAAGAAAAAGGTAACCCTTGTTTGAGCAGTAGTGAAGGCAGCCCGAGTACTCTCCATATTCCTTCCCCATTGCTTCAAGCTTCCTCCCAGACATCCCCTGCAGGATATGTACTTAAGTCAGGAAGTAAATGAAGAGATGCCACTGGCTGAGCTTTGCTCTGCTCTGTATCTGGCTAGACTTGAAGGTTGTAAGACAAAATTCTGCAGTAGATTGGAAAACAAAAATTTAATACAGTATACAGGCACAGGAAAGTCAGCCTGGAGTGAGGGGGTCTTTAGTGACTATAATCATCAGAGTCCCAGTAATCATTATGAAAATATTAACTATTTTAAGCTGTTCATTTTTGTTTTGCAAGATAGGGTTTCTCTGTGTAACAGTACTAGCTGTCTTAGAATTAGCTCTTGTAGACCAGGCTGGACTCGAACTCACAGAGATCCAGCTGCCTCTATCTCTCAAGTGCTGTGCCTTGTTAAAGAACAACATAAAGAGCCGGGTGGTGGTGGTGCACACCTTTAATCCCAACACTTGGGAGGTAGAGGTAGGTGGATCTCTGTGAGTTTGAGACCAGCCTGTCTATAGAGCTAGTTCCGGGACAGGCTCCAAAAGCTACACAGAGAAACCCTGTCTCCAAGAACCAAAAAAAAAAAAAAAGGAGGAGGAGGAGAAGGAAGAAAAAAGGAGGAGGAGGTGGAGAAGAAAGAAGAAGAAGGAAGAAGGAGGAGAAGGAGACGAAGACGGAGAAGGGAGAAGGAAGAAGAAAGAAAGAATGAAAGTAGGAAAGAAAAGAAAAGAAAAGAAAAGAAAAGAAAAGAAAAGGAAAGGAAAGGAAAGGAAAGAAAAGAAAAGAACAGTAGTTCCCACCCTGTACCTATCTTCCTTAGAGAGAGTCTAGTACAGTGTTATATCCTCCAGGGCCTTAGCCTGAAAAGCTTGAGTCTGACACTTTAGTATGGCCAGTTTAAATGAAACAGGGGGAAAGGCACAATGACGGCTATGGCTAAAAAGCAGAGGAAGATTCTCCTCTGCTCAATTAAGTACAGATAGCATAATACAAAAAACTGTTTGATGACTAATTATTGGAACGATAGCTCCCCCAAAAAAGTCTGACTTCTGCTTCCACCTATGGACAGTGACCCAGGCCCAAGACAAATCTAAGACAGAGATTAGAAGACCAAGAATGCTTGGCAAGTTAACTCTGGCTCTCAGGCAACCGCCATACCATAGGGAGCAACAGGAAAAACAAAAAGACTGGAGATTCAAGGGTATATCTTCCTCCTCCTACTTCTTTCCTTTTATTTCATATTTCAAGATAGGGTCTCTGTATGTAACCTTGGTTGTCTAGGAACTTGCAATGCAGACTAGGCAGGCCTCAAACTCAATAGAGATCTGCCTGCCTCTGCCTTCTTGGTGCTAGGATTAAAGATACACACCACCATACCTGGCCCTTAACCTACTTTCTATTCAATGTGGGGGCCAAGTTTCTTCTCTAAGAACTGATGGAATGTAAGGAAATGGCAAGAGTTTGAAAGAAGAGCCTTTGGGAATAAGATAAACTTGGGGAGCTAAAGTGGGGGAGCTAATCTAGCCTAAGAAAGAGTCTGATAATTCCAACAAACTAGGCCTTTAGGGTCAGTGGACCCATAGTATGTAATTGCTAAAGTAGTCCCATTTAAAGAAGGAAGCTAGGACTTGGTTGGATTGAGGAGGTTAAAACCTTGGAACCACTAAAATTTCAGTCATTCTAGGAAAACCTTTCTGTCTGTCAATGCATCGACCTTAGTCTCACAGCTCACCTCTCTCAGGTCACATTGATTTGCAAATTCCTGCAGTTGGGGCTGCCCCGAGACTGGATGTACCCTTTTATGAGCAAAAGCCAATTCTCCTGGGGTCATGATACTACACAGTCCACTTGCCACACACACCCAGCCTCTTCTGCTCCCACACTCATACTCATTGACTAGCACATTGTAACAGACACTGGCAATGGCATATCTCCATAGACTGAAGGTGCTAGGGTTGCTTCAACATCATTCTGACTGCAATGAAGGAAGCAATACAGAGCAGACATAGGAATGTTGGGGGTGGGGTAGGGATAATGCAGAAGTCCACAATGTTCATTACTCTGTGGACACATTTCCCTAGCTTTATTCCCTGTCTTCTCTGTGATGACCTTCTGGGCTTCTCTTCCTTAAAGGCTCCTTTGATGCCTACTACCAAGTCAGGTTGTTGCACACTCCTTTCAACCCAGCATTTGGGAGGCACACAGACGGAGCTGTATTCTAGGCCAGCATGGGCTCTATAAAGAAACCCTGTCTTGCAGAGTGGTGGTGGCGCACACCTTTAATCCCAGCATGTGTGAGGCAAAGGCAGGCGGATCTCTGTGAGATCAAGGCCATCCTGGTCTACAAGAGCTAGTTCCAGAACAGGCACCAAAAACTACAGAGAAACCCTGTCTCGAAAATCAAAAAAAAAAAAAAAAAGAAAGAAAAGAAAAGAAAAAGAAAGAGAAAAAGAAAAAGAAAGAAAGAAACCCTGTCTCAAACAAACAAAACCCCAAAAAACAAAAATCTTCATACTGGTAGGCTCATACTGGCAAAAGCTACGAACAGCTGGGTGCAGTGGCAAGTCTACTGAATTCCCAGCTATACAGAAGTTCAGGAAGTAGGATCACTTGAGCCTAGAAATTTTAGACCAATGTAGGTAACATAATGAGACTCAGTCTAAAAATAGCAGGCATAGTGCCACATATCTGTGATCTCAGCAAGCAAAAGGCTGAGCCAGGAGGATGTTCATAATTTGTTAGAAAATAAAAATTTTTTAAAAAATTAAGTTCAAACAAATTAGAGCAGAGGAGATGACTTAATGGGTGAAGACACTAGCTAGCTTAGAAAAGCTGACCACCTCAATAGATCTTGGGACCTATATAAAATGATGGCATGCATCTGAAATCTCAGCACCCATGGGAGTGATGAGAGGTAGAGAAAGAACAGCCTGGAAGCCAAACAGTCATCTCACCTAGAAGATACAGCATGCCAGACAAAGAGAAGCAGGACCTACCTCAAGAAGTTCAAAGTGAGAATTGTCCTCTGACCTCTATCTGCACAACATGGCAGGCAAGTACCCATGTACATATATGTACTAAATTAATTTTTAAAAATAAAAAATTTTAAGCCAGGCAGTGGTGGCACTCACCTTTAATCCCAGCACTTGGGAGGCAGAGGCAGGTGGATCTTTGTGAGTTAGAGGCCAGCCTGTCTACAAGAGCTAGTTCCAGAACAGGCTCCAAAGCTACAGAGAAACCCTGTCTCAAAAAACCGAAAAATAAATAAATAAATAAATTTAAAAACCACCAAAAATTTATTAAAAATTTCAATATTAATAAAGATAGCACTGTGCATAATAGCAGTTTGGGGAAACTACTGAACTCTTTTTCTCACAGGGGTTTTACTGAATACTCAAAAGATATCATTGGTTGTGATGGAAATCTGAGACATGAGTTAAATAACAATTCAAAAGCCTAGGTCATTGTGTATTCACTCAACCACCAACTGGGGGGGCAAGGAATTTGCATCTAGGAACTAGTGCACAACTTTGAATTGAGCAATTTACAGGGCAAAGTTACAGCAAGTTTGAACAAATAACAGTTCTAAATTACCTATTCCAAACTTGTTATTGTTAAGACTTGTTTCCTGTATATTTCACCAATTCTAAGTATTTCTGTAATCTCTCTGATTTCAAATTTCACAGATTCTGTCTTAGTCTGCTACCATTTTGTTTTTTTCTTCAAACGAGTGTCTCATGTAGTGCAGGCTGGGCTCCAATTTTGAATTCAAAATTGGCCTTGAATTCTTGATCATATTGCCTCTGCCTCTCCAATACTGAGATCACAGTTGCATTCCACAACATCCAACAGTTTAATCTTTGGTTAAGGAAAAAACATCAAGAAAAATGTGCCGGTATATCAAGAAACAGATCCTTAGAAACTTCTAATGTAAAGATAGGCTCTCTAAGCTACAGCATAGCAAATTAACTTTCTGGTATTTCAATTGTTTTCTTCTATCAGCACCTATCTTCAAGTAGTTGTTGAGGGTGAGTGTGTTAGTATCTACAGAGTACTCTGAACAGGACCTAAAATATCTTGGGTTTCCATTAAATGTTGTTTGTTATTCCTGCTATTTACAACACCCTAATATTTGCATATTGCAGGCCACAGCTGTTCCAAGGGGGAAGGCTGTCACTGGCTAACAGATAGAAAGCATGCGATATGAAGAGTGTCCCTACAAGGCCAATGTTTCTCACTCCACTCTGAGAGAAGGGCTAGCAGGACAGTGTTTGTGGTGCTTCTGTGGAAGCATGACCCCTTTGGTACAGCGCAGATTTCAGGATAGACCATCTGGAAGATGTCATCAATTCTATTATCTTTCAAGTCCACTACAAGGAATTGAGCTCAAGGTCAATTTCCCTAAGCTTAGTGAGGCAGTGTGTGCCTTATTAGGCCAGCCCTCGGGAGACTGAGGTAGAAGAATTGCTGTCCTTGAACTTGGTAAGTTCCTGTCTCAAATGAACAAACAAAACAAAACCACAAACTTTCCTAGAGTTTTAAAACCAATGATACTCTAAAAGAGGAACAACAAACCCTAAAGACAAGCACCATTCCGTTTCTGATGTATCAAGAGACTTCATCCGTTTGGGTTAGTTTTAAAGCAAATCACGGTATTCTTCTGGACCCCCACTGTTCTCATTTATGCATTATATTATTATATAATTATACATATATATTTCTCATTTATAACTCAGTGAAAGACTGATGAATTAGCACATGTCCGTAATCCCAATGCTGAAGAAACGGGAGAAGGATGTATATAAGGGACAGGATATTCACTAGAATTATGAAGTTTCAGTGAAATAACATACAAGACAAAGCAATTAGCACTAAGATTGTCATACAACAAGCATTCAGTTGGTACTGGTACCTTTGTCGAAAAGGTAAGGCCATAGCCACAGACATGGCAGGTGCTTCTCAGAACTGGGTCTCAGATGTTGAAGCTTTGGATCCCTCCCTGCCACCCCATCTGTCCAGAACCAGTTCATGGACTCCCTCCTCACCTTCCCAACCCCAGAGTGCTAAATTGATGAAGCTAAAAGGGTTTAATCATGTTGGTATATTTATATGTAAATACAAAACTGTACCACTATAAGATATTGAATATGAACATTACAATTATTTACTGAATCTGACTCAGTCCATTGATGTTAAATACAAAATGAAATGATTGTAAAAAATAAGAATATACACATTCAAAGATCTTATTACAGTATAAAATTATTGGGTCTGACCAGCTGCCAACCTCATCATCTGGAGTAGGGGAAGATTTAGGGGAGTTCAGTGGAGTTTTGTGGGAACACTGAGTGTTGGGAACTCTTGAGTCTATTCCTGGCGAATCAGACTGGGAAAAGACAGGAACAAGTTGGATGGATAGGGGACCAGTGATTGCAAGGAACTACCTCATCCAGCCAAGGGGATTATACTTTATAAGGACATAGAACACATCTAGTTTGAGGTCTAGGATTTGTCAGGCTAGCAGGCAAGGAGAACTGGGCATCTCAGTCGACAAGAAAGAATGCACAAAGAAAGAATCTTTCAATGAAAAGAAAAAGGGGCCCCAGTTTGTCCTCCCAGGAAGGGAGTTTCATAGTAGGTTCCTCTCAGTCACTCCAGGATTCTCCTTTTTTTTAAGATTTCGTACCGATTACTTTTGGTTCTGGCAGCTCTGTAAATTCATCTCTAGCCTTGGACCCCATTGCTGTGGTAAGACAGAGTCTGGAATCACAGTGGAGGTCTGTTCCCCAAATCAGCAAAGTAAACAGAAAATTTGTTAGATGAAGGACAACCCATGCTAAATTGAACCAGTGTTACCATAGTCAGTATTTTTGGCTCCAACAAGCATTGAGTCCAGAGGGAAAAATGTCGTTAAGAAGAGAAGCCTGTGGCCTGGGAAAAAAGTATGTGTTGTCTTCTATCACTCTGCTGTCTGACAACATGAGCATGATCCTCAATTCCAGCTAGTTCAGACTAATCAGCAAGGTCCAAGAAGAAAAGAATGCTCAACTGCGAGTTGAAGCCCCAGGAACATCTACAAAGAGTATCTGTGTGTATATGTATTTATAGAATACAACCATATTATCACATACAGTATATATTATATACACACATACATATGGATCCATACACGTAAGTGCACATACGTACACGCGCACACACACAGAATGACAGAAAAGACTGGAATACACGCCCTATGTATAAACGTGCTTGGCACTCAGGATATTCTCTAGAATATGTAACTTGGTCAAGCTCTCTGGGCAGGAAGGTGAATGCTCACCAAACCTCCCTGTCAAATCCTAGCAAAGGGAAGGAGGAGACTTCTAAAAGAATGGCATTGGGAGATGGGGGTTCCTTCCCCACTTACCTCAGGGACCCTGGCAAAAATCAATAGCCACAATTTGGTTTTAGTAAGGCACAGTTCAATAGCAGGTGCTAGGAATTAAGAACACATTGCTGCTGGCCCTTTCTAGTGGCAATTTCACCACATTTATCTAGCCAAAGGGAAAGGCTGCCTTGCGTGCACATGTGCGCTGGGAGACACAAGAAAGAGGTTGATCCATGGCTTCAGCATAGCTGATGGCAACCTATAGGCTCAGCGGTGTCCAGGGTAGTTTAAGGAAGGCTGGCCAGCAGGTGGAAACTCGTGGAACAGCTACTGACCCTCCATGGCCAACAGGCTGTGACCAGAGGGAACCATTCCTTCCTTCTCTGCAAATTCCAGAATGGCCTTGTAGCAAAAGTAGTACTGCTCAGGGGTCTGGATACTGAAGGCCCTCTGTGTCCTCATGCGCGACACTGTCTGGAACACATTAAGGGTGCCAAGCTCCTCCAGCTGTGCCAGGCAGATGTCCAGTGAGCAGAAGGTACCTGAAGAAGGAAGGAAATAGTCACATGAGTGTACTTCGCCATATTCTTCCTTTGACCAAAACAGCTTGCAAAACTGGATGAATGAATTCAAAGACAAAGGGTCTGATGGCAGGAGGACTTATGTCGAATAGTATCACAGGATTTGCTAAAGGCCAGAGTCTCCTGTCTCTCAGGACATACAAGGGGGGAACAAGAAGAGTAAGTAGATAGGTGTTGAAAACGAACTCCCTGCTTCAATACCAGACAGAGCAGCAGTACTTCCACACCCGATTTCCAGAGCTTGTACTCTCCAGGGGTCTACCACAAATAGATTTTCCTTCCCAGGGGACCCCTGACCTTGTAAAGTCAGCACACATTTTATTAAGCCAAAGCTGTTAACCAGATCCATGATGAATAACACAGAAGTCACGCAAGATGATACAAGTTTAGAATCCCATGATTGGGGAGGCTAAGATAAAAGGATTGCTGTGAATTCCAGGTCAGACTGGACTTCATAGTAAGATGTGGTCTCAAAGAAACAACAACAAAAGGGGGGGGGGAGGAGACAAGACCAGCAAAGGTAAAAGAGGCCCCCAGGAGAGGGCCAGCTAATCCCTCTGGAAACCATAATCACGGTGATGACAGAACTGACAAGGTCAGAAGATCACTGATGATGGAATGTATAAAACAACTCTAAGAACGTGGTTCGTAAATTATGTATTTTGGCAAGCAGTATCCCCAGCATAAAAAACACAAAAGGACATTAAAGAGTGATTATCAATGCAGTTTGCCAACAAGGGAATGAATGAGTTCTTTCTCCATTCACAGACTTTTAGTTCCTCTTCTTTACCCCCACTGCCACCAGTATAAGAGGTACAGTACCTGTCCTGCCGATGCCTGCACTGCAATGTACCACAATGGGTGGCTCGGGGCACTGCCCTTTGGACCGTGCTCCCAGGCTGCCGACAGCCAGGCTCTGCTGGTTTCTGACCACTCTCAGAAAGTCAATGAGGGAAGCTGCTGAGGAAGGGACACCATAATCTGGCCAGCTCAGGAACTGGAAGTGGGTCACCTGGCGTTTCTGCCGCTCCTTAAATTAAAAAGAAGAAGAAGAGGAAGAGGAAGAGGAAGAGGAAGAGGAAGAGGAAGAGGAAGAAGAAGAAGAAGAAGAAGAAGAAGAAGAAGAAGAAGAAGAAGAAGAAGAAGAAGAAG